CTTTTAAAAGTTTCCTCTAATCTCATTTTCTAAAACTATTTTTTAAGAACGGAGGCTACCACATAGACTCCAAGTTTGAGTTGGTTAACTTAGCTAAAGGTAAGAGTTAGTGTCAGACAATCACTTTGTGTGCGGGACTTTCATCCACTAACACCTCCCTTTGAGCAAAGTACTCTTCTCCTTAATCGAGGCTCGACTTATTTTCTTTTCGAGTTTTAGTCGTTTTTTACTATGCCTTCGAGGAGCCTCGACTCCTTTTCTTTTGGAGTCCTTTATTCAACATTTGAGAATTCTATTGGTATGGTTAAGTTTAGAGAATAGCTGACTTCTAAAAATGAAAATAGTAATCATGTATGCAACAAAGTAAAATAGTAATCTCATATACAACCAAGCAGTTGAGTAGGTTCCACGTTGACTAATTGGTCGAGGTTAAAGAGCAGATGCGTTATATGAGTGAAGTCCTTGACAGTTTCAGTATTTTGGATCTTATTCGGATGAGATTGCCACTAGAGCTAACAAAACTAATGCAATAACTGGGTGCTTAGAAGATATGTTCACCCAAGATTTAATGTTGAGGGTTGAGACTCTAGAAAACCAAGTCACCAGGTGGCTTCAAGCGTGGGAATAGCTTAACACGCTTAAATGATCTTCGAGTAGCGCTAAACATTAATTGGCTTAGTGGAAGGAAAATATGTCAATCATCTTATGCTAACTATTCCTTGATGATATGTTTGTTTTTTTTCAAATAAGTTTTGATTTTTTAAATATTTTTTTATATTCAATAACCAATTGGAAATCTATTTCTTTAAAACTCTAAGACCAATTAGGATTAAATTCAAATCTCATAACACTTGTACTAAGTATTGAAAATTCACAACTTAGATTTACATATCTTAGTTTTACCAACTACTCATATAAATTTAATTTTCCAAAAGTCTCTAAATCAGAAACAATAATTAAAAATGAGCCATATGAAGCCTATATTCATATGCCTCCTTCGAGGTGGTGAAGTTTAATGCCTCTTTATGGACAACAATAACTAGGCCTTTTTGTAATTATGATCTTAGTTTGATTTTGCAAGATTCGTTGGGCTCGCTTCTTTTCTTGTACACTTCTCAATAAAGCACCAAGAAACTCTAATCTTGACATCAAGCTATGCAGCCCTATCCTCTATGGTAAAGTTTGATAAAGTTAGCTCTCGTCTGTACCATGTGATGAGTGATTCATACATTCTAGCATACGGTTTGCAAGCATGTATTGTTTAATGCAAATACCAATACATACTAGAACTTCATGTATATTAAACTAGAAAAGCTAATAATTCAAAAAAGAAAGATGCATTCATAGAAAAGGTATTGTGGCAAGACACATGACCAAAGAAGATACAGTTGCATTAAGAACTATTATTTGTAACAAACGAGGAGAGTTTATTTCCAGACTAGAGAATTCATCATCAGATATAGAGGAGAAATTCAATAAACTATGAGAAAGCAGCTTTGATTCTTTCAATACGTACTTTTTATCAGCCATCTCTACAAGAATTTGTCCATGCTGTCAGTCAGAGTTGTTTTGGGAACTGCACCAATTATTGCCTCCTTCTTCTCACCATTTTTGAAGATAATGACAGTGGGGATGCTTCTGATAGCACATTGGGATGCAATCCCAGCTTCCTCATCAGTATTCACCTTGTAAAATTTAAACTTTCCTGCATACTCATCAGATAGTTCATCAACAACCGGATGAATCATTCGGCAAGGACCGCACCATGGAGCCCAGAATTCAACTAGAACCGGTACACCAGATTCAATAACCTGGGACTGCCAAGTAGCTTCTGAAGCAGAAGGTACTGCAACATTCGAGAAACGTGATTTGTTAAACCTCGACAAGGGTTTTCTTTTGGGGGGAAGAAAGTTAGAGAAATAAAAAGTAGTTGCAGGTATATTGCTGATCTGAGAATCAGTCAGCCGGAAGAGAAGAGTCAAAAGAAAACATAGATTAAAATGTTAGTTTATGGATAACAAATTCCTATGTGAATGTTCTAACATGAACTGAGTGCTGTCACACTGCAGGAATCATCGCAAAAGCAAGTGATCAAGAATCAGTACAACCAATGATACAGAGCCTGAACTCAAAGTCAATTGAAAGTATCACAATTCTTAATACTCAAACTAAAAATTTCGACGTCCCCACCCCATGATCTTCGTAGATAAAATAAATATGTTCATGCATGTGTATATATTAGAATATAAAGGTACAGCTTAAATGCACTATTTGGTAAACGTTTTTCTATACTTAAACATCTGTTATTCCAAATTAACGATTCATAATAACAATAAAAAATGGTGTGCAGGAAAGACAACCAACAACAAATGCTGTAAATGACTCAGAATCTCGTGCCATACATAAAAGGTAAATGTTGGCTCCCCTGCAAATCAAGATGCATACACCAAAACACGCTCACTCATACACACGCAAAGGAATGGGGTTACTGGGAAGAACCAGGAGAGAGAGACGAGTAAACCACTTTCTCCAAAATTCCAAACAAACTGAGCCAGTATCAGACCAGCTCCCTACTGACGACTCTCTATAACGGCATTAAGACCCAGGCACAGCAAAAATCATATTCACAAGGGTGCACAGAATTGGTTTGTCACTCACCTATTGGGTGTCCACTGATTGACCATGGCAACATATAAACTAAAGAAGAGCTCCAATCTCATATAATTTATTCTGCCCACTGAGCAACATGAAGTACATTCCCTTCATTTTATAACTTAAGTTGGCATCAGAGGCACCTCTCTTCCAACTGCAACAAACCCAGAAAACCTCTACGGGAGGGATATGGAGCACTTTGGACATTTTGACCAAGTGTACATATCTTAAGCACATGAATTAAGCTTAATTTAGTTATAGATATATGATCTCTTGGTCGAGAGAATATACCTTCATCAGTAGTTAACTCTTGCTATCCAATCTTTATGGTTAATGTAGTAATTCATTTGAAATTTTAATGCTTGATCTTTTACTTTCAAATGGAAACACATTTCCACAGCCCAATTTAGATTGATTGCAACTTGCCATCCCAGGATTTTACCTTCAAATCTGTCAGGCTTCAGAGGACTAAAACATAGTAGGCGAATTACAAATGTGATCCCAATAGTTTGGAGAAAGTTAGATTTAATCCTTATGGTTTTAAAAGTTATAATTATATCCCTATTGATAAAACCTCATAAACAATCCTCCCCTTATAAATAAGAGAAGGATTGAATGCCTGACAGTTAGCTACATAAGTGTCAAAGTTAAGTAGTTGATTGGATAAAAAAGGAATTGAAAATTGACAATTTAATGCAGCGTCTTTGAAAATTGGCCAACTCCTTTTTCATCAGTCAGCTACTGAACCCACAAAATCAACTAAATACAAAAGGTCACTTCACTTAACATGGATAACTAACTACAATATACTCGATGTGTTCGAAGCTTTTAATGGTAGACACTATTTGTGAGACTTCATTTAACGCATAAGTAGTTGGCGCATATAACTCTAGTAATGATCTAACCTACCATTTGTTAATTATACATTTTAGTTTCAACTTTTATCAAAACCAAACCAAACACCAATAGATACTTCAGAGTATGATCTTCATCAATTCACCAAACTTACAAGTGTCCTAAATTTTCCTTTCTTCCCTTCTCCCAAAAGCCAAACATCACAATAAAAGAAAACAACAGAACAAAATCCGAACCTATGGAAGAAGTTTCCTGACCTTCGCAGACGACTCTGCCAGAACGATGAGTAAATCTGGCATTCGATCTCGCAGATTTTATAGAATGGGAAGTGAAGCTGTGTCCGACCTTCAATGCTCTGTAGCGCGGAAGCGCGAGGGAGGTCCGACGGCCGGAGAAGGTGGTGGAAGCCAAGACGGAGGAAGAGGGAAGAGCGAGGGAATCGAGAACCGTAGCCATGGGAGGAAGGAATTAGAGAGAACGGTGGTTGTGAGTGCGAGGCGAGAAAGAGTGAAGGTCTTGGGCAAAATTTGTAGTTGAGTTTTTGGATTGACGTGGCACTGAAAGAAGTCCGGAAGGGTGAGAAATTGACGTGACGTTGATGCAGGTCTAAATACAGACGAATAGAAATGTAACGCGTGGATGACGGTGGCATTTCTAAATTATTTATGTTGGAAATGGAACACAATGTTCTACCAACTCAAACAGCTAACAACAATAACTTTCATACCTCATGTCAAAGAAGTTAAGAACAATAACTTCCATAGCTCATGTCAAAGAACCTAAGAACAATAACGATCATAGTTCATGTCACATAACGTAAGAACAATAACTTTCATGGCATATAATTGAGAGAGTAAGAATTGATAATTAATCACGTTTCTCACTTCGGGGCATTTTAGCTCTGATAGGTGTTAGACATGATTTTGGTGACCGATCATACATCCCGTATTAACTCAACAAGTAGTAAAGTTTTATCTAACATGAAAGCAAGTAAAAGAAATTTGGAACAGGCATAGATTCATGGACAATACGTCTTAAACAAACATGACCGAGACATCCGACATGCGACCTACAAAATATCCTAGACAAGCATAACTACGATCATGGACAACCCGTCCTAAGACAAGCATGACCAAGATATCCAACATGTAGCCACAAGCCATCTTAGACAAGCATTATCGTGGCAACTAATATCCTTGTCAGCTAACCAGCTAGAATTTGTCATAGTCTCAAAGCGTTTGAACTCCTGTGTGTTTCCTCCTTGATTACTTGAACTTGCTTGTGCATCTCCATATTCTTTGTCTAAACAATGATAGCATATTGCAGTCGAAGTTGCCCAAATGAGCTCAGCTCACATGCGTTCAGTGAGCTGTCTTAACAATGGGCATCTGAATCTCCATGTTTAATGTAAAAAGAATAGAATAGGCACCTGGGTTCCAACTCCAAGTATCATAATTTAACACAACAAATTAAAATGAACCTAAGCTAACTCATTAATCAACAAATTTACTTCAATAACTATACAAATAAATCAATATGTCACAAGTATCAGAAACGAAGAGCTAAAAGATATAGTTCTGAAAAAACAAAGTACTTCAACACCACAAAATAACAGCATATTTGTTCAACCCGATACCAATTACAACTACTAATAACGAAAACGAAATTCAATTCGAAAGTATAGCTTTCTTTGGTTAATCTTCATTAAGAAAGGTTCCTTTCCTTCATAAAAGATTCTATCTTTTCTACATCTCCAGGAACATCAACACCGTGCGCCTCGTGGTCGACCTTAATCACCTGCAAAACAAAATGACAGTTTCAACATTGGAGCACCATACCTTTTCACAAGTGAAAACACACAACTTCTTTCCCAGACAAGATATGAAACTTGGATCGATTATCTTTATGCGTACGCTCGTCTCCATCTAAGTGTAAGTTTAAACACTTTTTTGAAGAAATACTTTTGATAAAAAAGTTTCCATATCTTACATTTGTTCTTTAAAAAAATGCTTTAAATAACAAATTTGTTTGGTTAACTATATTAAAAAATGATTCCATTTCAAAAGTTATTCTAAACAGAAGAACAAAAATGCCTGGTTTTATAAAGTATACAAATTTCCCAAAAGTGGGAAAAGATGCTATGTACATAAGAAGTTGAGGTGTACCTTCATTTTGTAGCCATGTTCTAACACTTTTAGCTGTTCTAAATCCTCCTCTAGTTGCAATGGTGTTGATTGGAGTTCAGGATATATACTTAAAAATTTCGAATCAAAACTCTGGAAAGGAAAATAGAAGAAAAAGGAATGTTCCTTCAGTCTGGCATTACAGCAAAATGAATTCATCTCGTATACAATCCATTAATACCTGGATTCCAAGATGAAGCAAATAAGGATATTGAAGGTTGACCTTTCCTGACCTGCATCAATGAATTGATGTAACTCGTTAAATTTCCCGACAACTCGAACCTATCTATAATGGACGCTGCAACCTGACCTCGAACTGGAACAATCAAATAACACAAGGGAAACCCAAGATGGAAAAGGAAATCTTACTTGTTGAAAGGGATCAATCCTCTTGAAAAATAAATAGCGTATCCATGATTATCCACTACACACTTCACGCGATTGGGGTCGAATGCATCTTCAGGTTTTAAGGATGTCACTGCAGTGCTGAACACTGCATCCGGGGCAGCCTGCACACCATACAGAACAAGAGCTTGAGGGGAGCAAGTTCATAACTGTCCATTTATTAGTATGGAGTCTTTTAATGCAACATCAAACTTTCAATCCTGCCATTTTAACCAAAAAGGTACGAAAACTTTCACCTGTAGAGCTTTAACAATGCCATCGATGATCTCCGGTTCGATAAGCGGCTCATCTCCTTGAATATTTACAACGATATCGTATTTCTTCTCCAGCTTCTGAAGTGCTTCATTACAACGTTCAGTTCCTAAAGTAGTTTCATACTGAAAATAATAAGACTTCAATACTAATCTCGAGATTGTTATATAATAATCACAGTGCTTACCATTCCGGCAAGACTCTGATGTCATTACAACATCAGCACCAAATCCTTTACAGCATTGTGCAATCTTTGCATCGTCGGTTGCTACAACTGGAAAGATTTCAAATCGAAAGGTAAGGATGAGGTACGCATAAAGCAAGAAGAACAAAGCACACATGCTTACCAACACAATCCAATGTAGTAGCCATTTTTGCCCTTTCCCAAGTTCTCTGTAGAATATGAATTTCATAGGCATATTAAAATTTTGGCAGATTCAAAACATGAACAATATAAAAACATAAGCCAATGTCGTAGGCTTCATCACTCGTACTGCAAAGTAAATCAACATCTAACACCAGAAAAATGTTGATTTAATGACTATTAGCTCTTTAGAAAGATAAACTAAGATCCGAATGATCTATGATGTCAGTTAAATCATACAAAGTACAAATCTACAACAGCCCACCAGCCAATGCAAATCAAATTCCATCAAATACAACATTCTATGGAAATAAATACAAGAGTTGAAAGTTCAACCTACGAGAACTGATCCAACCGACATTATAGATCCTTATAATAGACATAATTGCTTCCAAAAAATAAATATTGAATGAAGCCAGAGGATTCAATTTTAGATTTGGTATGAAAAACTGATGGTTTGATTGATTTACTTCTCCTTTCTTTGGGATAATTTTTTTTTTTTTTTTTTTTTTTTATAAAA